TGCGATTTCCAAATTTCTGGCAGTGAATTATGCCATGGTGCACTTTTTCTCACAGACAGTGCGCAACTGAACCCACCATACTTGTGCAGTCAACAAAACAAAAAACAAACAACGCGCATGCACAAAATTAAATATGTAAAATGGCAATAATTTACCCCATTGCACACTGTATATATGGGAGAATATCAATTCTGTATATCAGAACAATTTTAGACAATTGAATGACAGAGGGGAAAAGGAGTTGATGAAATGTTTTTATTGATGGAATTATTTCTGTGTAGCAGGGAGAGATATAAATACCAGTTAGAATTATGTACTGCATCTTCAGTTCTTTCTCTCAGTACATAATTACTTTCTGCACTCACATTTATATTTGCAAGACCTGATTCTTTCCTCTATCTATATGAGTCCTGGACTCTTACAGCAGCTTCAAAAAAGGATCCAAGCAGTGTCAAATGCTTCAGAAGATACCTTGGCATCTTCTATAAAGGCAACAAAACAAATAAAAAGTTTAAAAAAACAAACTATCAGACTGTATATTGAACAATATGAAAACCTTTTGATCATTGTGAAAAAGTAAATAGAGCAGATATGACAAGCTTTCTAAGACCATTCTTTAGGGGACAGTGCAGGAGACAAGGAAGACAAACAAGACAGAAAGAAATGGATAGAGAGAAGCTTTGCCAAAAACCAGTAATGGTAATGAGTCCAACAGTACAGCACCTAATAACCATGACAGGTTACAATGACAGAGACAATTAATGTGAAGTATCATGGTGCCATCATCAGTGAAGAAGGGTCCAAGGCTGATGTACTGGCACGAGCTGTGTAGACTGCAACACTGTAGGAAGAGACAAAAGCATTAGTCTTAAAACAATGCTGAAGCTGCTGCATGCACTGATTCCATCACTTTTCTTGTATACATGAAGGTTTTAAATTCTCTGAACTTTGGAGAAAAATCAAATGGTAATGGTAAAATTAACCATTTAACATTTACAATGTTACCGTCAGTTGAAATTTACGTAATCTTATTGTTATGGCCCAATATCCTCACACCACAGTTATGGTCCAAAGTTAGAACCAAGGAAGAACAACACAAACACAAGAGTAGAATAACAAAGATATATTACAACAGAAATATAGTACAAGAAGTTGAAGTTGTTAGTAATGACTGACCGTCTGGTTTAGAGTGAACTAATGTTGTCTTGACTCGTTTCACCATTCATTCATTATACCTCTTGAGAGGTGCAGTATTTATAGTGTCAGGAAGAGTCCATTATCGTTATAGGTAACATAACACTTATTAAAAAATCTTTCAGGAAATTAGATTTCTCAAGTTCATTGTCACTGATCTTTTTAGTATTGACAGTTTCCTTTCAAGCCTTTTATTAAGGTAGTGTGGAATGTCGAAATTTTCATTACACCAATATTCTACTTATGTGTGCTATCCATTTTTGTTGCTTTTGAAAGTCTTCAAGTGATGTGGTTTTTCTTATTTCCTAAGGTTCTTTGTAATTTTGTAGTGACAGTCTATAGGGTCTGACGAGGGATTGTGTTCTTTAAGATGTAAAGGATTCATTCACTTGAGTCCATTTTTAATCATTGATCTGAGAAAATGGTTGTGTATAGATGGTAGTTTAGGTGTTAGATGCTTCAGGAAACTCTTGGGTATCTCTTGAAAGGAGTGCATAATAAACGGAAAAAAGTCGGGAAAGTTATCAGAAAGTATGAACACTTTCTGACCACAGTGAAAAATAAAAGGAAAGAGTGATATGTGACAAGATCTGATGAGCTCTTCAAGACCATGCTTCAAAAACAGTGCATGGGAAGCAGAGACAAAGCAGACCGTAAAAGAAATAGTCAGTGATGTGCCATAAGTTCAGCACCTCTATGACCATTTCAGGTTGCTAGAACCACAGTGTCGAATGCAGATTTTTGATTAGAGCTAAGTGAAATCAAGTGAACTTTAAAAAAAATCAAGGAATAAATACACTTAGAACTTCAATTTGTAGAAATGTTTTATTTTCAGGTGCCTTCAGGATGCAGGCAATCATGGCTCTCCCTAACTTCCTATTTATTGTGCTCTTAACAACATTTATCTTTTTACTATCTGTTGTAACCTAAAAAAAGGTTAGTGAATAAGAATAACCAAAACAAAGGTTGGAAATGGAACGATAATATTTATAAAAGAAACAACATACAAGATTCACCAGCGCCATGTAGTAAGTAATCAACTGCTAATGGTGAACTAGAAGTGAATCAAGGTGAATTGCAAGTGAAATCCCATAGTGAAGATATTCACTAACCGCCGGATGTGGCACAAGGCCGAGTTTATTGTGGGGTATCCAAGCCCTTCGGCATGGCCTTGTCTGGGTTCCTCTCTGCCTGGAGGCAGAGAGTTTGACAAGCACACCGGGAAATAAATTCCACAGTGAATCAACATACAGTATATTCCATTGTATTTATAAGGATTGGGACATACCCATTATAGTCCATAGGTATAGGATAACACTCCCCCCCAGTCCCATATGTACCCTAATCTCTTGCTCTGTTGAATCGTTTCTCTTATACAGTACTGAAACCCATGGTCTGACTTATACATCTATCTTGATCTTTTATCATTGTTGTAGCCTCGGAAAAGGTTACTGAATAAGAATAACTAAAACAAAGGTTGGAAATGGAAAGATAATATTTATAACAGGAACAATATACAAGATTCACCAGCGGTGTGTAGTAAGTAATCAACTGCTAGTGGTGAACTAGAAGTGAATCCCGAATGAATCCAAATGACTACTACATACAGTATATTCTACTGTATTTATACAGATTGGGACATACACATTATAGTCCATAGGTACAGTATAACACTATACCTTCCTCTCTCTGTTCTCCCATTCATTTGCACAAGCTCAATAGTTAGCTTACATTGTTTCCCTCTGTAACTCTTGCCTCCAGTATGCTCTGTGAGTGTTAAATTCTCCAAGCCCTCCTTCCTCATTATGTCTCCCAAAAGTTTAAAGTCTCTAAGTACAAGTGTCTTTTTTCTGTTTCCTTTTTTTGAGGAAAACCTTAAAACCTCTTTTGTTGCTCACATGCTTCATCAATAATATTCTCAACATCCTTCTGCAGAATCACATCTCAATTTCCCTGAAGTTTCCTCTTCTTCCGTGAGAAACTGTCCAGCATTCACTGCCATTTTGAAGAATTGATATTACATAGCAGTTCAGAACTCTTTTCATTGTTTCAATGGTTCCTGTATGATCACCAAAGTTAAGCAACATTGAGCCTGGTTAGTACTTAGATGAGTGACCACTTGAGAATACCAGGTGCTATAAGCTTGGATGTGTGGGTGGTGTAATGGATAATGGCTTCAAATTGTTAATTGGAGATCCAAGTTCCAATTCCTGTTAGATTCATTATATTCACTCATGTGCAAATATCCTTGGGGAAGTTATATATCCACATCTTCTCCCCTAGCTATTGGTTAATTTATAAGATTTGTATCACTAAATCATTGTCTCCAAATAAATTCTTACAAACTAAAAATATTTTCTTGGTTTAAATAAACTGCAAAGGGTTGATAAGCTGTAGAAAATGAATCACTCAATTAATCTTTGTATCAAACAAAATTTTTCTATTTCTTAATATTTTGCTTAGCTTTTGGAAGTCATCTTTCACTAATTCAGTTTGCCTTCAGCTTCCAGTGTCAGATTTTTCGTCATCTGTTATACTTCACAGATATTTAAATTTCTGTATTTGCTTGATCTGACACCACCATTTCATAGCTCATAGCTTCTTTGGCTGTTAAGAATTAAAAATTCCAGGTTTTTACCTGATAAAAGTGACTAACAAAACAAAAACTTCATGGCTTGCAGCCATATCACATTGAAACACCAATTCTCATATAATCGCTAAAGTTAAACAATGTCAAGCCTAGTCAGTATCTAGATGGGTGACTTTGGTAATACCAGGTGCTGTAAGCTTGAATGTGTTGCTGGTGTAATGAATATAGACTTGCAATTGAAAATCAGAGAGCAGAGTTGCAATTCAGGTCAGGTTTGTTATATTCACTTACTTACATTCCAAAAAGGTATTTGTGTGTGTGTCCACCTCTCCCCCCAAGCTATGGGTTAATTAGTAGGACTTCTATCAGGATATCATTATAAACTCCAAAAAATTCTTACCTTCTAAAAATATTTTCTGGCTTTAAATAACCAACTAAACCTTAATAAAAAAAACAAATAATCAACCAAAAACATCTTGTCGTTTAATCCACAATTCTTTTATTAATTTTAATTGTACATGAAAGAAATCGTTTTCAAATATAAATGCATAAATAAATACATAGATAGAAATCAAATTCCAGTGTGGATCATAAAAAAATATCAAGAATTAAAAGAAAAGGCAAAAAACAAAAGTTTTTAGCATCAGATTTTCATTTTACTTCAAGAATTGAATTCTTCAAAGAACTTTACGAAAATATGACTAATCATTCAGATGTTATTTTTTTTCTTTTGAAATTGAAGGTAAAAAAAAAAAAACATGCGACTCAATTGATATAAATTTTTTATCTCACCTGAGAGCACCTTTTTAAATGAAAAATAATTTTTAAAAAAAGGCCTCATATTTTAAAATAATCTTTTATATGCAGACAGAACATTTTAAATTTATAACAGCAGAAAGTTTAACATTAAACATTTTTAGATATATACAAAAAGTTGATCAGCAGATCTAAGCATGCAATGCCAGAATTAAACATTTAAAAAAAAGAGTAAAAAGGCAGTTTTAGCATCAAATTATGTTATCCTCTGAATTATTTAAATCAGGATCTTTACATTTGTTGTCTATCACCTGTTTTTATGTATTTCTCAGATTCAGGTAAACCTAAAAAAATGGTTGGGCTTTTTTTTTCTTTCCATTCTTTTCTCTCTCTCTCTCTGTAGCCTAGTCTCCTCCTCTCTCTCTAGTACATTCCTATTTCTCTTTCTAGCCCATTCTAGTCTCTCTCACTCGTCTCTTTCTCTCACCCTTTCTCCTCTCTCTATCTCTCTCGCTCTTCTCCCATTCGTTCTTCTCACTCATTCTCCTCTCTCTCTCAAATGATTCCCTCTCTCTCTCATTCTCTCTCTCTCTCTTTGACCCATTCTTCCCCCACATTCTCTCTGACCTATTCTTCCTCCCTGTTCCCCCACCCCATTTCTCTCTGATGAATTATCCCCCTCTCCCACTTACTTTTTGATCCATTATACCCCATATGCTCTCTCTCACAAGATATTTGTCCACTTTTTTTTTTTTTTTTTTTTTTTTTTTTTTTTTTTTTTTTTTTTTTTTTTAAACTATAACACTTCACAAATTTAATCATCTGAATTTCCTGACAGCTTAGGAAATATTTTTGTCTATTTTAAATCCCCATTCCTAACCAGTCTGAGAACAACTGAGCATAGTGTTGAGATTTTTTTTTTCTTTTTTTTAAAAAGAAAATAGGCTCTTGAAATTTCTAGCATGTTTCTTGAAGTATACAGAAGAGTACATCAGCCAAAAAAAAAAGAACAGTAGTTGGAACAACTCGTAAAATAATGACAGTGACTCCTCTCATAATTTCTGATGACATTTGTCAAATTCTTTCTTCAAACTTTTCATTATTTTTTTTTCTTATCAAGAAATATATTTTCTGAGATATTCTAAACCTTTTTGATGGAAGACTAAATTTTAAATGCTATTTGGATAAAAAGATTTATTCTTACAGCACCTTAAAAAAATAGCTAGGGGAATATTTTCTATTCACACTGGGCCTATAAAAACTGAAAAAACAAAGATTTATCATTTTTAACAACAAACTAAAAATGTGCCATAAAGGTTAATGAGTAAATTGATTTTATATTTAACAATTCATGGAATAAATGCAAGCATAAAAGGGAAAGTTAAAAAAAAAAATTTCTTGGTAGATATTCAGGTAAATACCAAATGAAAAAGACTTGTTTGCCTTTAAAAGCAACATTCAAAATGCTGCCTCTGCATTGTTGGTGAAAAAATACAGAACGATTTAAGGCAGGGTGGGGAATATTTATCTTATAAATATTGATGTCTGTTTATTAATCCCTATAAAATGTTTTTTTCCTCAGTTTAGTCAGTCATTTAAGTGCTAGTGCACAATTGGGCGATCATGTCACCTTTCGATCCATGACTGTCTAGGCAGAAGATTTTCCCACATTAGATTGCCATTTCTTCCTGCAGTAGACTGGCTGCCATCCAAGGCTTTAGGACCTAGTCTGTCTTACTATCCATAGCTTGGGGGTGGGAGAAGAGATGGATTCTTACCTTTCCCAAAGGTATTTGTAAGTAAGTGACTGTAAAGAACCCAATTGGAATTCAAACTCTGTTTTCTCATTTTGAGCTATTATCCCTGACACCACGACACACACTCATTTAGTACAAGGTGAAATAAGGGGGAGAACTGAGGATAGGAAGATTGTGTTGTAACAATTTTCAAGATGGGGAAAGGCCTGTCATTAAAATCAACATCCATAATTTTGACTTTGAACTGGTTGAGCACTGACATTTGGCACTGACTGGAAATATGTAACTCAGCTATAAGACTGGCAAATTCCTGAATGATATTTGTAAGCCAAATATTTGATGCCTTTTGCAATCTCTTTCTTTTCTTAACTGGTAGTATAACAATTGTCTTAATGAGGCAAAACAAAGATCAAAAGACAATTATTTGGATGGATATCTTCAGCAGCATTTTGGTTGGAAATTTTGGACACTTTGCCAAGCCTCACATTCTTTGTTCTGTGAAGGAAGAGGATATTTTTCTGTAGAATATCTACCATCTGTTGATTTGGTGATATTTTTTCTTTTCTCTTTGTCTATCAGTGTTATTTCACCATTCTCTCTTTCATCAATGGCCTACAGTAGAAGAGTGAATATCGTCGTTGTTATAAAAATTATTCTATCTTCACCTCTACTGTTTTTTTATCGAATTTCAGTTGTTTGTCAGCCTTGTTCAGTTACATCTGACTGTTCTCAAGAGTGTATACACACACACACACACACATATATATATAATGTTTTTAAGCATTTCATCCCAAGCAAGGCATGAGTGCCATTAGCACACAAGGGGTTACAGAGAGTGAAAACAGGAGTAAAGACGAGTGTTTGAGGAAAGGATAAAGAGAAGTTTAAGACATCAGATGTCGATTGACATTACATTTAAATTTTTGAAGATTATAGTTATCCGGGAAACAAGTAAGAGGAAGGGAGTTCTATTGTTGGGAAGTGCAAGAGAAACTGTAGGAATAGAAGAGGCAATTACATTTAACTTTTTCGACTGTAAAAGGGTAGCATGCTTAAATTCATGCAGTTGGGGCATCAGTAAAAATAGCTTGTCAGAGCAGTTGCCATGAAAATATTTGTAGAAAAGACAGAGGGAAGCCACATCACATCTATGAGAAAATGACTGGAGTCGAATTGCCAGATCAGGACATATCACATCGCATAACTCAAGTATACTAAGTATTAACTCACCTACAATTCTAAGCTGCAATGTTCACTTGGTTTGGTGACCTATATTGTATTATATTAATGCTCTGTTAAGAAACATTGAATACTTGGTTTATTTTAATTCTAGCTGATTTCTTCCTTTTTTTTTTTTTTTTTTTTTAAACTATGTGTATGCATAATATATAATGGATTAATACAGGTCACAGATCAAAAACTCCAAGCACACATTTTTTTAAATTAGATAAAATTACCATGTAAGCTTTCTTACACACACACACATATTATATGAGAGAAGAGGCTTTTATATCCTAATACATTTTCATAAGCACTAATTTTTATCTATCATATTCAGTTCAGTTACAATCTCTTTTTGATACCTTATATGTTAATTTATTCAGCCAATATTCTTTACATGATAGTTCCATGTGTGTAATCTCCTTGGTTCCATTCAGTGACCGTTGAGAAAGGCCGAAGCATATATATTTATTGAAATGCATAAAAGAACAAAAAAATCTCTATTGTGTGTGTCAAAACATTCCATACTTCTGTCAAGTTGCCATTATGAAAATTTGCATAGAGTTGGACAATTATTAAAACCAAAACTGATCAGATCAGTCAATTTTAAGAAAAAAAAAAAAAAAAAAAATACATAGATCTTTGCTTATGATGATTTGTAAAGAATTTCCAATTCAGCCAAAACATCAAATCAAAATATCAGATGAAATATTTTAAAAAAATTTATCATTTTTTCTAGACATCAGTCATATTGTTTATTATCAAACAACTTTCTTTTGTTGTTGTCATTGTTCAATGACTTTCTCCAACTAGTATATTCGTTCTTGATGTTTTTAAATTGTTTTAATTCTGATTATCAAACATTTTTGCTGACAGCAATTACCTATGAGTTAGTCTAAAAAAACCCAGCTACATGAACTGAGTAGATCAAAATGTAATATATATATATATATATATATAGAGAGAGAGAGAGAGAGTGTGTGTAAAAATTTCAGATATAACTAGAAATATACCTATAAAAGGGCAATATGTTTAAAAACAAATGGAAAACTTATCTTACTCAACGTGTTTTGTCCTCTAAGGGACTTCATCAAGGCAAACTTGCCTTGATGAAGTCAGTCAGCGGACAAAATATATTGGCTAAGATTTTTTTTTTTTTTTTTTTTGTCTAATATACATTATATATCTCAACAAGTATGAATCACTGAAAATGAAAGATTGTTGTTACATAACTAACATGGCAGTGTATTTGATTCACAGATGACCATTGTCTTGAAAATGCATCAGCTAAAACAAAATGGAGGAGTCAAAACACCAAAATTTATAGGTCTTGTCCAAATAAAATTTGGAATAATATTCTTCATTAGCCAAAAAGGAAAAAAAAAATTATCTGACCATCCAACAGATTAAGTAAATCTACTTATTCTAACTTTGTTAGTAAAGATAATATTTAACTCCACATTCCCTACTTTAAAGCAGATTCTTTCCAAGGTAATCTCATCTATTGCACTAAAGGTTGTAGATAAAGACATTTTCTGATATTTGGTGTAACTAACATTTTCTAAAATTCCCACATTAAAGAGAAAGTCTAATTAAATACAAATAGTTTACAGAGTTCAATGTCAGATGTTATGATGCAAGTCAATGCTTTCAAAATAAAATTGATATTAACCAACCAATATTAGCAAAATGTTCAGGATATATTTACATAGGACAGGATACCATGATTTTAAGTTTATGATATCATATCCTACTTAAAAAATATTGTAAATAACTTACTTTGTAACAGTTTTGGTTTTATTATGCAAAAAAAAGATATTTTCATTCATAACTAAATCCAAAGGTTTTAATCCATAAAAATGTTTTAATAACTCAGTATCTGATAAATTAGAATAAATTATTTGGCAAACATTGACAAACGTGACTACAATAAGACAGAATATCAAAAGGACAGTTTTTCCATGACACCTTTTTTTTTTAACTACCAATACTTGTTTTTCTTAAATACCAATTAGAATTGGAACAAAACAAACATATGATGAAAATGAATTTATACTTTTTTTTTGTTCTTGAGAATTTGCAAAAATTTAATAATTTATTTATTTATTAATTTATTTAGTTTATGGTTCATTGATTCAAACTTTATAAAATGGCAAATAATAATGTTTTCCTTATAGTCGGTTCACATATTTTAATAATTTAGTAAATATTTATAAATTTATGAATAAAAAATTTTCATTTATTTCTTTATAATTTGGTAAACGATAAATGTTGTGTTGCATTAGTTCTAACTGTATTGTTTATTTACAAGAATAATTTTATATTTACAATCTAATAAAGTGTCTAATATTTTTGTAAATTCTCAAGAACAAAAAATGTATAACTTTACTTTTGTCATATATTTAGGTTTTAGTATAATTTTAACCACTACTTTTTAAAACAATAAACATTGCCTAATAGTGAGGGAGTTAAAATAAAAATTGTGTCATGGAAAAAATGAGCAAGCACAAAAGTCTGTTTGCCAATTATTCCTTTAACAAGTTAATATGGGCTTCTTGACATCCGATAATCTTCTTCAGTTTATTCTTCATTGACTTCGTTAAATGTTTTTAACATGCAGCAGTTTTTATTGTTTCCCAGAGATATTCTTTGCTTGATAATTATCTTCCTTTCTCATATGGATCTTTTG